TCCACCTGGTCCATAGCCAGTTCCTGCACCACCTGGCCCAACTCCACCTGGTCCATAGCCAGTTCCTGCACCACCTGGCCCAACTCCACCTGGTCCATAGCCAGTTCCTGCACCACCTGGCCCAACTCCACCTGGCCCAAAGCCAGTTCCTGCACCACCTGGTCCAAATCCAGTACCTGTGCCACTTGATCCTAATCCTGGACCTCCAAGTGCTCCACTTAGCATTCCTACGAGGAGCAGAAAAGTTGTTATTTTATCTCTAATACTGTTTTTTAAATACAAATATGTAACAAAAGTGTAGTTGCTAAACTCTGATTATTTTTACCATATTTACGAGCCTTGGCACTGGCGTCGTACCCTGAAATACACACACAGTATGTTCATCAATTATCATATACATTTAAATAAATGTCTGATTTAAATGTGAATTGTGCATCACATTTGAATTACTATTATGTTTAGATAATAGCAATATAAACTTTCTAGAAACATATAAGCTTTTTAAAATTACCACCAGGTCCTGTTCCGGGTCTTCCTGTTCCAGTACCAGCTGGGCCATAGCCTTGTCCACCTGGACCAGTGCCAGTCGCAACACCACCCGGACCAACACTGATCCCTGAGCCAGGTCCCATTCCTGTACCAAGGCTGCCTCCTCCTAGTTGTCCACCTCCAGGGCCCCCAAATGAACCAGTGCTTGCACCACCTGGACCAAAACCAAAACCACCACCTGTCCCAGCCGTCCCAATACCAGAGGCTTGTCCCACTCCAGCTCCTCCAGGACCTACGATGCAAAGATTGAATGTGTTTTCACTTGGTWATTAACTTCACAAATCTTGTATTATTATTGCTCTCCACAAGCGTCTCACCATATTTGCGTGCTTTGGCTGACCCGGGACCGTAACCTAAAACATAGACAGGGTACAGTTAATACAATATGATCAGAAGTGAAATGCATTTTTGATAAAATATTCTGGGAATTTCAAGCTACAATATTAAAGGGGCAATATCATGTAAAATCAACTTTTTTGAGTTTTATATCATGTTATAATGTTATACTCTCATAAAAAAACATGCCAAAAGCCTTGCTCTGACTCATTCATGCATGTTTGAGAAATCCTGCAGTGTTTTTAGGAAGCCATGCTGAGGAGCAAAACGACAGGTGGGGACCAGAAACGCTTTTGGGGACCAGAAACGCTCCCGGGACGTGACTTTAAGCCAAACTTCCTCATGGC